AAAACGACTTTTGTGGGACATATCTAGACAACAAGTTATTTATATAACTACTATGTAATTTATATTACTACTAATGATTGGTTTAATAAAAGAACAAATTTTATTAAATTTATTAAAAAGTGTTTTGACATTAATTTTGTCAAAAAAGGTTGCAAAAAAAAATTGTTTAAAAAAATAACGTAGTCTTTTTAAAATAGTAATTTTTACTAATTTCATGCTCTAATTAGTGAATCTAATTAATAAAAAGGTTTTGAACTTTTTTATTCGTAAAAATAGAAAGAAAAAAATAATAAAATGCGCCTGTGATTTAAATAAAATAAACTGCCAACAAGCTTTTTAATTTAATTTTAATTTGAGCATTACAACTTAATGAGTGCTTCGCGTAACGAATTTAAAAATTATTATAAAAGATTTTATAACATTCATTTCTAACAAAATTGAAAAAAAAAAGAAATTGTTTACAAAAAATAAAATGTTTATTTAAAACATTTTAAAATATCGTAAGTTTAGCCATAGAAATTAATTGTATGAACAATACAAAATGCTTTAAAACTTTTTCATTAAATCAACAAAATACATGCTTATATAAGTAAATAAAGTTATTTTATATTCTTGTGTAATTCACATAAATTGTGTAAAAGTTAGTAGTCACAAAAGCTTTTGAACTTATTCATAAATTAAAGTAACTTAAAAAAAATTCTTTCTAAAAATAATGGTTTAAAAATGTTTTAGGAAGACATAAGAAAATAGTTTCAAACGTTTACATTTATCATAAAAAATAAATGTCTACATAAAAAAAACTTATTTATAACGTTTTTTATTAATTTACACTAGCGTTTATGTAAACTATAACTATAACTAATTTTATGGTTTTATTTAAAGCCTTTGCTTAAAATAAAAAACTTTAGAAAAGATAAATGATTAAAAGATATTTATATCGTAACACTTTTTTTATTGCATTCAAATTGTTAAAACATCAAAATAGCCGTGGTCAAGTTGTAAAGAAATAAAAATATTAGTGTGGTCAGTTACAGAGTGCGATCGCACGCCATTCCTGTCCAAGCCTGGTATATATATATATATATATATATATATATATATATATATATATATATATATATATATATATATATACATATATACATATATATATACAACCCTCGGAATTAGGAAAAATGTCGACCCTAATTCCGAGGGTTATATATATATGTATATATATATATATATATATATATATATACACACACATATATATATAATATATATATATATATATATATATATATATATATATATATATATATATATATATATATATATATATACACACACACACACACACTGTTAAAAAAGCGTGTTTTTTACGGAAAAGTTCTGGCAGCTGCTGATGACCAAACTACCTGTTATTTTACGGAAAAATCCAACGCATGTAAACGGAAGTTTCCGTTAACAAATTTAATCCGATTTTTTCCGTTAAAATACAATGGGTTTTTTTCCATTAAACAACGGGATGTTAGGTCATCACAGGTGCCTGAACTTTTCCATAAATAAAGGGATACTTCCGTTTAAATTAAACAAATTTTTCTCGTTAAACAATGGAAAGTCAACTCTATACCTAAAATAAAAACAAAAAAACAAAAAGTTTTTGAGTAAGGTAAGATTTTAATATTTAACAAAGTAATAAATTATAAAAAACACTCATTATGTGCAATGGTTATCTTAAAGTTATTACTCAATATGAGTGATTTAGGCCAAGCAACAAACAACTCTGGATAAAGTTAAAAACTCTTTTGAGCAATAAATAAATAGCTACAAGAAGTAAAAACTTAAATTAAAGTGATACAAATCATAAAAACAAAGGTTTTATAGTGCAATGTAAGCAATCTCAGTTTGTTTGTAATTGTGATAAACAAATTTTCTGTTTATGCCATTGTTGGCGCCATATGCCATTACTCTCAAATTTGAAATTAGATTTTTTATATTATTAAATAAATAACAACTTCTTTAAAATCAAATTCATATAATTACTAAATTTACTTGGAAAATAACTCAACAATTTAGCAATAAAACCCAAGTTTTCTTTTCTGTTCTATTATGAAAACTTAATGAAAATTTAATTTATCAAATTATTATTTTTATATAATATAAAACCATTTCAAAAATCATATTTAAAATTTAATAATAAAGATACATACTTAGGTCTAACCTTTAGCAAGCTAAAAAAAATTATAAGACATAAATAGAAAATTAATAATTTATAAATGAAATAATTTTTACCTATCTGGTCCATTGTCATCATTAAAAAAATAAATATGAAATTAATGAAATATTTTTTATCATTTTTAAAAAAAGTTTTTTTTTTTGTTCATGCTTAAGTTAAAAATTGTTAAAAACCAAAGTACAATACTTATCTTGAATCTTTTTTTTTTTATTTATTTTTTTATTTTTTTTATTTTGCAGAATATCTACTTCGTTAGACTATAATAAAATATATTTAAAAAGTATAAAACAGTTTTATAATTTTGAAAAAAAATCTTTATTTTCTTCTTGTTCTAAATACAATTTTTTTAACTCTTACACCTTTAAGTGCTTTCTTATCTAAATATAAACAAATGTGAACACAAAAATGATATAAATATTTTATAATAGAAATTTATATTAATATATATATATATATATATATATATATATATATATATATATATATATATATATATATATATATATATATATATATATATATATACAGTCATGTGACATTGAAATGGAAAAATATTTAAAAAGCAATATTTTTCAAATGTGAATACAAAAATGATATAAATATTTTATAATAGACATTTATATTAATATATATATATATATATATATATATATATATATATATATATATATATATATATATATATATATATATATATATAATTTAGCTTTGATGGTCGATGTCAACGTTCAGCTTTTTTGCCATTTAATCATCTTTTCTTTTAATTCTTGCCACGTTATTTTTAACTCTACTAATGGTGGTTATTGAAACTTTGATTAATTCCTTTTCTAATAATTTCTTTATCATTCTATACAATTATCCAAGTTATACTAACAATAATATATATCCTTTAATATATTTTTGATTTTTTTTTTGTCAAAATGCTTTGTTTACATAAATCTTTTTTTCTGCTAACTACTTTAAATATGTGATTAAATTACATAAATAATATTGTTAAATATTGTTTTATTAAAAAGTAATCAAGTTTCAAAAGTGCTTCCATTTCAATGTTACATGACTATATATGAATTACATCTTTATATATATATATATATATATATATATATATATATATATATATATATATATATATATATATATATATATATATTTATATATATATATATTTATATATATATATTTATATATATATATATATATTTATATATATATATATTATATATATATATATATATTTATATATATATATATATATATATATATATATATATATATATATATATATATATATATATATATATATATATATATATATATATATATATATATATACACTCTTGCTTGGTCGTTTTTAATTTTTTTATTGTCAGGTCAGTTTTAAGTGTTTTTTTTTTTAATTGTTTTTAAGACCGGAAAAATTTATAAAAAAATTTTTATTATTATTTAATAGACTGCCTAAACCAAACCCTCAGTCAATATAGGAACTTCCTTGTAGCAGCAGGCTATAAGTTAGTTGATGTACCAACACTCTGCACATGTTTTACAAAAAAAAGTTTATGTCTTATGAATTTATATGTTTTATGGATTTAGGAGGCAATTAAGATAAAAATGTTTAAATATGGAAAGTCATTTATTTTATAATTTTTATCTTAAGTTATTTATTTTATATAATTTTTTAAATAAAAATTTACTACTATAATTTTAGGTTTTTTTTTTGTTAAAACGTATAAATGTTTAATAGTAAATTAATAAAATAAATAAATTTTATATTGTGTTTATTTTATTTTTTGTGTTAAGTGTATATTTTATGTTAAACATGAATATATAAATTATAGTATAGTAAGTGTCACATCGTCGTAATGTTGCTTCTCTTTCTCTTTTCTACAAATACTATAATGGGCACTGCTCTAAAGAGCTAGCGTCCCTTGTGCCATCTACTAAAATTCATTCTCGTGTTACTCGCCATTCAATTAAGTCTCATACTTTTTCTGTGACTGTTCCTAAGTGCTTCAAAAACTCTTATTCTTCTAGTTTTTTTCCTCGAACATCAGTTCTTTGGAATTCGCTTCCTTCATCTTGCTTTCCTGATTCATATAATTTGCAATCTTTTAAGTCATCAGTCAATCGTTATCTTGCTCTACAGATTTAGTCTTTTCTCTTCCAGTAACTTCCAACTCTTATAGTGGTTGCTTGCAGCCTTGTTGGAAGTGAAGATGTTAAAAAAAAAAAAAAAAAAAAAAAAAGTATGAACCATGAAAGAAGAATAGTTTATTTTTAAAGTTTAACATCTGTTTTCACACTTGTGTTCTAAATTAAATCAAATTAAGAGTCGAAGCAGTTTTTAATAAACAGATATCCTTTCTAGTGTAGTCTATTTTGCAGATCAGGACTTGGTATGTGATACTGCAATTATCAAGATTACCATCTAAAGTTTACAAGCTCCTACTACCCATGCTGCAGTTTTATTGGAGGAATGGGGGTGGGTGTTGGTTGTATCAGAGTGTTGCTTGTGATAGGAATGTAGCTTCACCACATCTAAAGAGCCTTTTCTACTCCATATGAAACCATTTCTACAGAATCATCATTAGAAATTTCTTTCAATAAAATATTTTCAAATAGGATAGTTAAACTTTGAATTTTTGAAATTCAGAGATAAATCAGGATTATTAAATCATTTTAAAAACATTTAATAGTATTGTTTAATAATTTCTTAATCTTTTTATTTTTTAATACAATAGTTTATAATTATAATTGAATCAAACAAATTTTTATTTTTTAGTATTTTCATATTCATGTTAATGGGGTTTATCATTGCAAGCAGCGATATAGTCAGCTAGACAAATTTTATGAAAAGGTAATAAAATGTTCATGTTATTGCTTATATTTGACTTTATTATAATTTGATTCTTTACTAAAAAGATTCTTTTGTTTAGTTAACAAACACATACCCTGATAGTATGCCAAGCAAGTTGTTTCCACCTAAGAAACTATTCTCTTTAAGTACTGAGCAGCTTGAAGAGAGGCGAGAGCAACTGGAAAAATTCATTCAGTTTATTAGTCAAGATCCAATTTTGGGTGCCAGTGATGAGTTTAACAATTTTTTGCTTCAAGCACAACAGGTTTATTTTGAAAATAACTTTAATACTGTGTATAAACGGATAGAGGTGTGATAGAGACTGACATTTTTTTATGCTTATTAAATAAAAAAATAAATATTTTTAGTTCTAATTTGCAATAATTCTTAAGAATTTTTTTTTATGCTTTTAAATAACCTCTTTTACTGAATTACTTATTTTACTGAATTTTTTTTTTTTAAATAATACTTAAACAACAACCACTAATAAAAAATAGTTTTAAAAAGAAACACTTTGTTTATTGACTTTTGTATTGACGTTTTTCCCCATTGAATAGAAAATTCAAATTTTGAGCAGAAACAGAATTAAAAATTGATTAATGAAAGTTTATAAAACTTCATACAAAAGCTCAACAAGTTTCAATAATTCTTTCTCCTACTTTAAAAATGTTCTACTATCATCATTCTCAACCTTTTTTCTGGTTGGATCAAATTTTCTAAAATTTAGAAGAAGAAAAAATTTTTTTAATTTACGCATACTTAACTAAGATACTTATTTAAAAAAAAACTTCTTATTTGAAATAAACAGAAAAATTTTTTATATAAATTTCTTGACCCAAGTTTGCCCCATTTTAATATCTAATTTTGAATATTTTAAAATCCCTGTTGCTATACCTGGTTTATATTTTACAATGATACTTTTTCACTTTTAGACAATAAAAGCAAAACATAGTTACACTATTGACAATAGTCAAATTGAAATGTTTTATTATTATATGGTTGGGTCTTTTATATTGAAATGTTTTATTACTATATGGTTGGGTCTTTTCCTATTTCTACAAACAGCATGATCACTGCTTAAGCATGCTTTTATTCTATCTTTCAAAATTCATTCTGTGTATGAATTGTTATTCTTTTGAGCACATTTTTATACTGTAATTGCAATATTGTGTATTGTGATTGCTTGTTCAAAATTATTTTTAACTTTATCATTAGTACTAGTTGCAGCTTTTTTTTTTCTATGAACATCAGTACGAGTTGCAGCTTTTTCTATGAACATTAGTATGAGTTGCAGCGTATTTCTATAAACATCAGTACTAGTTGCAGATTTTTTTTCTATAAACATCAGTACTAGTTGCAGCCTATTTTTGACAACATAAGTAGTAGTAGCCTTGTTAAAAAAGAATTCAAAAATTAAAAGGAAAAAAGATCCTAAAAAGATAAACAAAAATTTATATTTTTTATTTGCTACTGCCCCATTGTTCTTAATGTAAGTCTTTATTATTATTGAAGTTTTTTATTCATCATTATCAAATGTTTCAACAATTGGACAATATATTCAGTAAGTTGAATTAAGTTTTTATTATTAAATAGGATGATTATGACATGGAACCAACTGAAGTTGCAATTGAGATCTTTTTAATGAATGGAAACAAAGTATCTGTTAACGTAATGACAAACGATAAAAATGACAAAGTTTATGAGGTTTATATAATAGTTTTTTTATACACAAAATTTATTAATACTTATTAAAGTCATAAACTTTAGTAAGAATAATTTTCAGAATAATGTAAGCAAACCAATATAATATTGTTTTTAAGAATAAATTTATTATGTGTTAAATTGTTGTTTTAGGCTGCAATGAATAAAATTGGCTTAAAAGAAGATTTTTTTTATTACTTTGCATTGTTCATGGTTGAGAAAGTTGATAATGATGAAATAAGAAGTAATTTTAATTAGTTTTAAACTATTTTATACAAATATGTTCAGCTTATAGAAATCTTCTGTGTAACTGCTTGACTATAAAAGTACACAACCTCCTGATTAACATAAGAGTACACAACCTCCTGATTAACATAAGAGTACACAACCTCCTGATTAATATAAAAGCATATAATGAGTAGTGTTAACAATCTTCAAAAAAAAATTTTAACTCCTTAAGAACATTTATTAACTTTATTATAGTTTTATAATTTTTTTATGTTGGATCTACTATTTGATAGGTTTTAAAAAATGTATACTCAGATTGGTTTCTATCCAAGTCTTGCAGATTTTTTTTTGTAAAAGAAGAAATTTTTTCCAATGATCAATTTTATCCCAATTAAACAGATTTTTTTAAGCAATGTGTACCTCTCAATGGTTACATCTTTCTAAACATTTTTTTCCTGAATTTATGTAACCAACATGCAAATTCTAATAAAGATATTTTTGTTTTACTTTAATGTTTCATTTTTATATTTTCAGTCGTACGAAAGCTTCAAGATTTTGAATCTCCTTATTTGTCGTTAAAAGCTGTTGAGCAAAAACCTCATCGCATTGTTATAAGAAAAAAGTATGGCTAGTTTTTTTTTTGGTAGATTTAAATAAATTCATTAAATTATAATTTTTTTTCTTCTGTTTCCTTTTCTCTATTTAAAGACTTTTATTAATGATTATTGTGATTAAAGATATTGCAGTTAATATATTTATTAAATCCTTGTTATTTTTAAAATAATTGTTTTTATCTTATGGTTTAGTTGCTACATTTTGTCAGTACATAACTGTTTGTAACTTTGCCTGTCTATGTATAACAATATACAATTTACACAGAGATAAAATTAATATGTGCAATTCTTGTTTAAAAATTAATATTGATTTATTAGTTTTATTTATTATATAATTATCTTGTTATTGGTATAATTGTTACTGTTAATTTATTTTATCATTATATGATAAAGATAATAATAAATTACATTTGAAAAAATTATATAAATTCATATACATGACATATATGATTTTTATCAATATGTCATGTATATGAATTTATGCATAGATGTAACATGTAAATGTTATATATTTTAGTTATTGGAATTCAAAATATGATGAAGACTTGATTAATGATAGAGTTGCTATGAATCTTCTCTATGTACAGGTGAGAGATATTATAAGGTTGTTAACAAGCTTTTCATTTAAAATGAAAAACGTTAAGTATTGCTAATATTAGGAAATATTATATGAGGTATTTAAACAGTAAAAGATAGAGATTTTACTGAATGACAAGTCAAGCAAGAATGAGTTTTAGTTAATGGAACTAGAGATGACAGCTCATTTGAGCAGCAACCATAATAATATTTGTAGAAAAGAGAAAGATATGAATTTTTATGGTGATGGGAGAGAGGCTCAAGCTTTTTCTACATTATCAATGCATATTTAAGCTCAAGTTTCAACTACTTTATCAATGCATATTTAGACCTTGTCTAGAAGAGAAAGATCGTTATTAGAAGAACCAGCCCAAATATGATAACAGTATTCCATACAGGGACGAATAAGAGATTTGTGGAGGTAGTAAATGAAATCAGTAGAGAAAAAATGACTAGCACCAAGCCTTCCCAGGAAACGCGTGCGGTTTTTTGTCTTGCATGACCACATGCAAGTATTTTATTTTAGACAACTTGGTCATGACCGTTTGCAAGTTTTATAATAATCATTGTGGAAAAAGTTTCTAAAAAGAATTATTATTTCTAAAAAGTTATAAAAAAATAAAACAAACTTACAACTACAAAAGTAATAACACAAGTAATATCTAAAATAACTCTTTATGCTGACAAACTCAACTTTATACTCCTGTGTTGACAAAACTCTTCTCTTTTTGATCACTTAAAATAGGCAGCCAATCTTGAATCTGATCTCACTTCTATAACAGATTAGGGTTCACAGTGGCTTGTAAATTTTAACTCTTACAAAACTCAGTTATTTACTGCAAACAACCACAATACTGTTGACATTCCTCTTCTTTACATTTTCTGGGATTGTTGTTTACTACTGACCTTACATGGAAACAATATATACAATTTTAAATTAGGCGAAAACGATTTGCAAACTCTGGAAAAAATCTGGTCTTCAAAATAATCCCAGAAGATGTAAAGAAGAGAAATGTTGACAATATTGTGGTTGTTTGCAGTAAATAACTGAGTTATGTCAGATTTAAAATTTGCAAGCGCATTTTAATGTACGTTTTGATATTTATTTTTAATTATTTTAATTTTAATACTCTTTTTTAGAGATTATAATGATATAAAAATATCTATTATAACAGATTTAACTTCTTGAATGGCAACAGATTAGTTGGTCTTCGGTCAGCCAACAGATTTGTTTGTAAATGTACTTCCAACAGAATTAGATGGAAAAGACACAATTAAGGCCCATGTTCTCAAAGTGTATGCGCCAAAGTATAATCTGAATACCAGCTGCAAGAAGGTATAAGAATCCAAAGTGTCTAAATCCCAATGAGTTTAAAAGTGTTCAATTATTGTTTAAATCTCCCTTTGAATATCTTAGACTACTTCAAAAAAAAAAAGTTTTGCAAAGAAATTTCTAGTTTGTTTGAAGTTCTGATAATGATTATGTTCCCAGGATGGAGAAAGATTTTCTTTGAAATCAGCGATCTATTTGAAAGATGACCATAAATAGTACAGTGGATAATGAGGCTATAAGAAAACAACAGCAGAAAGCTGAAGACACCATGGGTGTAATAGAACAACAATGGTTAGAATTGTAGTTTGAAACTATTGTTTTCAAATATTCTTTAATAATATTTATATATTTAAAGAATATTTTGGTTAAAAAAATTCAAGCCTAAAGTTTGCAGTGTTGTAGAAGTTGCTTTAAGGAAGAGATCAAAGCATAATTTGATCAACTGTCTCCATTGCTGATGCCGCTCTTCATATATACTTCCAAAAATAGTTGACAAATCAAAAGTTCACAGAGCTGTTAATGTAATTTTAAAAGAAGGCGATGCAGCACCATTTGTGGTGTGTTGTGTAGTTGGTTAAGATAGTTGATAAGATGTGACTAATGCAAGAGAGAATGAGAAGCACTATCAATCAAGGAAAACTAAGGAACATGTTACAATAGTTTCACTCAGTTTGACGAGGAACATGTTACAATAGTACTCAGTTCAGTTCAGAACTGATTTTGATGAAATTTGGAATATAGCTATGTGTACTCCATTGTGGTAAATTAAGACATTTTCAAAAAAAAGTTTTTATGAACCGCCTTAGATTTATAATATTATTTTTATGATAATAAAAATGTATAGATTTACAATTGCAGTAGTGATATTTTCGTGATAATAAATTTATTATTGTTTTTTATTTAATTAATTTTTGACCTTACTTTTTTTAAGTTTAATTCACCTTAAAAAAAAAAATTTCAATGTTAATTCACTTCCCTAAATCGACAACTTTTATAAATTTTATGGTATGATGACAAGTTATAAAGTAATCCAATTTACAAATAAATCATTTGTAAAGTTTTGTTAACAATTTGAAATAGACTTTCAGATAAATTTTGTTGAAACTTAATTGTTTGAGTTATACAGGCTGACACTGGTATTCTATTTGACAATTACATTTAGGTTGCTTTTATGACCAGACTTTGCTAGAAAGAAATGTTATTATGCTGTTACCATGTCAATGTTATTACTACAATTGTTATATTTTGCTGCACTCATAAGTGTTAAGACAAGTTTCCACTCATCTACTTTTCTACAGGAACTGGATAAGAAAGTAATAAATAATCACATGAGCATGCGTTATAAAAGTTTTTATTTGTCCAAAGGAAATGTGATTGTTTTGAGCATGTAATCACATGAGCGTGTGATTACATGCTCATGTGATTATTTTTTCGTTCCTGTAGAAAAACAGATGAGTGGAAACTCCTTTATATTGTGGTGTTTTGGTTTTGGCTTGTTGTTTTAAGTTGATTTGCCAACTTAAGCTTAACTTGGGCAATTAGTATCCTTTTTTTCCATGTGTATTAAATATTGAAATTTGAGCCTTGCACTAAGATATTTTATGTTGTTAGCCACTGCACTAAACATAGGTTGTTTTGAACCTTGTACTGGGATATCTTATGTTGTTAGCCACTGCACTAAACATAGGTTTGTTTTAAGCCTTGCACTAAAATATTTTATGTTGTTAGCCACTGCACTAAACACAGGTTTGTTTTAAGCCTTGCACTAAAATATTTTATGTTGTTAGCCACTGCACTAAACACATTTTATATTTTACGCACACTTTAATGCACACTTTTTTTACTTTATGACATCAACAAATTTAAATAGTAAAATAAAAATATTTAAATAAAAATAGAATAATTTTTTAAATAAAATTTTACTTGTTATCTTTTGTTATCTTTATTTTTTATCTCTTTTTATCTTTACTTGTTATGTCTAAAAAAATAAATTTTTATTTAATGAAACTGTTTTGAAAAAATATGTTTTTTTTTATATAGAGTTATGGTAATATCCATAAGTACAATAGAAAATACAATAAAAAAGGGTAACAATTCTTAAGTATTATTACAAGGATATATAAGTAATATATAGAATTAACAATATGGCTTCTATGAAAGCCATATTGTTTTTCTATTGTACTCTTGGATCTCAGTTTAATAAGAGTGGTGTCAAAAGCTCAAACAATAGATCTTAATGTAATAATGAGTAAAAAATTTAGTGTAATTGTTTGTTAATGTTATATTTTTATAACATTAACAAGTAATATTTTTAACATTGTGTCTTTTTTTCTTTCTTCATTTTTTGTATTTGTTAATAGACAGTGGATGATCTAGATCGAGGTTGGGTTTTGTGTACAAATGAACAGAAAAGCAAACTTAATGATTTACAAGAAAGAAACTTACGTAAAGAGGTTAACTATTTACAAATTTAAAATCACAAAACACAAAATTTCTGATTAGTTATATTTAGCTTGCAATTCTAGTTTTTGCAAATGGCTTCAAAATTGAAGTTTTATGGTTATACCCATTATCTGCCATGCAAAGCTAACTATCCAAAAGACAACTCCACTGTATTGATGGCATCTGGTAATAGAGAGTTTAATATCAGAGTGAAAACTGAAGATGTAAGTATCTTGCTTTTTGAACTGAAGATTGCAAAATTTTACTGCTTTTAACAAAATATTTTGGTGAAGATAAACAAAAGTAAAAAATTAAAAATCTTTTTTAAGCAATTTTAACAAAAAGAATTTGAACTTTTTGAATTTAAATAAGATTATCAGAATATGATATAATCAAAATATAAAAATTATTAAAATTTAAAAAAATTAAGAAACTTTTGTTTTCAATCAATTTTTAGAAAAAAGTAATGGAAGGAAGTTTTGTTATTCAAAAGATCAGATCTTGGAAATTATCGTCCACGGTAAGTTTTTTTTTTTTTTTTTTTTAATTTTTGCTATTAAATAAACTTGATAATTTGTTGTTCAATTTTTTGTTTGTTTGTTTTGTAGTTTCTTTTGTAATATTCTTAGAATAATTTTTTGTTTGTTTGTTTTGTAGTTTCTTTTGTAATATTCTTAGAATAATTTTTTGTTTGTTTGTTTTGTAGTTTCTTTTGTAATGTTCTTAGAATAATTGACAATTTGTTTCTTTTGTAGTTTCTTTTGTAATATTCTTAGAATAATTTACAATTTGTTTGTTTTGTAGTTTCTTTTGTAATATTCTTAGAATAATTTACAATTTGTTGTTGTTAAATGCTTTAAATCTTTTAAAAAAAGTTTGATTAGAGTTTCTGATTGCCTATTAATGAAGTTTGCTATTATTTTTTATTATATTAATATTTGCTGTATGTATTTTATAAGTATCATGTTACAGCCAAAAAGATCTAACCGCTAATTATTTTAAATAATTACTTATATGCGCAAAATATGCATGGTGGTAACACATTAAACATCAACACATTGCATGTATGATTGTGTTGTTGTCAACCAAAAGAAAATTATCTTATATGATCAATATACATTAAAATCATGTGTAATTCAACCATTATTATCTTAACTTAAATTATATATAACATCACTTACTAAATGTTTGCAAGTAATACTTTTAATAAAAGATGGAAAGTCTGAATGTTTAAAGATTGCTGCATGTTTAAAGATTCTTCAAACAATTAACAAACTTTGAATCAATTCAAACAAATAATTATCTGAAAAAATTTTTTTTGCATATTATTGTGCTACAATATGTCTGTATTGATATATTGAATGATGAGTCCAAGATGGCTGCATAAATATTAAAAAGATATTTTCATAATTAAAAGTGTTAGAGAAGCCTTAAAGAAACCTTTTTGTTGACTATTAGCTTAAACTTGTTGTGTTCATTTCTTAAATAAAACTTAGGAAATAAGTTTACACTTGATTAAAGCAAAGCAATTAATTTACATAATAAATAAATCTAGAGATATTAACATTATAATATATATTTATAAAAATTTTATGCAATTGCATGCAACCATTTAGATAAAGGAACAATTATCAAAAAATTTAAATCAAGTTTTAGTTAAGATAAATGATATTTTCACTGTAACAACACAGTTAACAACATAGAAACAAAGTTAGAAAAAAATTATTGACCTAAGAAACATTCAGGATGGTAGTTAGTTTGACCTAAGTTCTGAGTGTTGGTGTCTAATAGTGGTATTGATGAGTATATTGATTATTATGTAATTTTGTTATACAGTGCAAAAATAATATTCATTACTTTTGTAATATTTTTGAAATACATATCTTATCAAAACTTTTAAAACCACAGGAAATTATTTCTTATTATTGTTAAATATAATTTTAAACAGAAATTCAAATAATTTTTGGTTTTCTAAATTGTTAAAGTTGCATGATTATTGTTGAAAATACCTTTGTTGGACTGGTTGAGAATACCTTTTTTGGACTGGTTGAGAATACCTGTTGGACTGGTTGAGAATACCTTTGTTGGACTGATTGAGAATACCTTAGTTGAACTGGTTGAAAATAACTTAGTTGAACTGGTTGATACCTTTGTTGGACTGGTTGTTGGACTAACCCAAAAATAATAACAGAGATACTAAAGATACTCTATTGGTTTTATTTATGAAGGTGGTTTTCAAGGTTTTGTTGGTTTTATTTATGAAGGTGGTTTTCAAGGTTTTGTTGGCTTTAGATGCCAAGATCTTAAAAAATATATTTTTAAATATCTTAAATATTTAAAACTTACAGGATATAACTGCAGTTAACTGACAAGCTATAGAATTTAAATAAGCTACTTGTAGGGCTCAGGTAAGACTAGTGTGCTTCTAGTTTGTTAACTAAAATATTGAAGGCAAGGATGCAAGCAGTATCTTAGTTAAATCTTTGCAATTTAATGAATTCCTAAATAATTGAAAGTTAAAATGTTAAAGATTTATATAGGAAGGTGAGAAGCACTAAAATTTGGTTTATATTGACTAAAATTAGTTGACCGAATAATAAAAATTTAGAAATAATTTTTTGCCAACAAAATAAGAAGATATTTAATACAAGATTATTAAAAATATTGGAAAAGAGAATGGTAATTGATGACTTTAAATAAGCTTTTTACAGAGTACTGAATAAGGTAGTATGTTGGGCTATATGATATTTTTGAAAAATGGCTGTAATCATACATGGAAAATGTCACAATAGCAATCAAAAAATAACTTATCATTTTAAATTTAAGGCTGTTGTGTCTCAGATTTTAGCACTCATTCTTTCGCTTCATGGTAGAGTCTAAGTTTTTTTATCAGTGATACAATTGAATTAGTTGTTGGAGCCAACAATTGCCTGAAACCGCTCAATATAATGACAGCATAAACATCAAAAACTGCGTAATATAATAACTGCATTAACTCTTGACTTTTTTTTTTTCTTATCAAAATAAAAAACTAAAAACTTATAGAAAATTGTAAAACAGATTTTTCCAAATGTTCAAAAGTTTATATTTCCAATTATAAAAAGTAGCTAATCAATTTGACAAGCTTCACTTTTTTTTTTTTTAGTTCTTAGTTATCTAAAATAAATAATAAGTAATTTTATATTATTTTATATATATAATTAATATAAAATAATAATAAACATTTTAATTATATATTAAATTTTTGTTGTTATAAAATAATTTTTTTTTTATAATTTTGAGTTGTTATATTTGAAATTTAAATTATATTAAATGATTAAAGTATAACTAATATTAAATGAAATAACAACTTTTATTTAGCCAGATAGCGAAAAAAAAGAAAACCTTCAATTTTCATTTGAATACTTGTTTAAGAAAGGTGATATCAGATGGATCAATGTTGAGAGCACTCAGGTTGGTCATTTAAACTATAAGAAGTTATACAAATAAAAAAAGCAATTAGGAAGGAAAACTATATATATATATATATATATATATATATATATATATATATATATATATATATATATATATATATATATATATATATATATATATATGTATGTATGTATATACTTTTCCTTCCTAGTGGTATATATTATTTTTTATATATTAGTTTGTTTGTTTTTCTGTCTGTAAAAGACAGTTTTATAGACAGAAAAAAAGTAAAAAAACATGGGGGAAAAAAAATGTCATAATAATGTTCTTAATATGATGAGTTTACCTGCCCAAACCCTCATTGAATATATGTACTGAAGCACTTAAAGATATCATGCAGAGCTGAATCCCTGTTGATATATAAATATATATATATATATGCAGCCCTCGAAATTAGGAAAAATGAGGTCTTTAAGAGGTGTTGGCATCAGGCAAAAATCATTTAATACAAAGGCTCTGCCATAAAACATAAAAATAAGGTTGGCATTTTTTTTTGCCAATCTTAAACACTTTTAGGACAACATTGTTGAATGCTGACCCTAATCCTGAGGGCTGTATATATATATATATATATATATATATATATATATATATATATATATATATATATATATATATATATATATATATATATATATATATATATATATATATATATATATATATACACACAGCCCTCAGGATTAGGGTCAGCATTCAACAATGTTGTCCTAAAAGTGTTTGAGATTGGCAAAAAAAAATGCCAACCTTATTTCTGTTTTATGGCAGAGCCTTTGTATTGAATCTTAATACATTAAAATTAAATTAATTAAAAAAATAATAATAATTGAAAATTATTTTCAATTATTTATTTTTTTAATAAATTTAGTTTTCTCATTTTCTATGATTTATTTACAGGCAGTGATGATGAGTATGGTCATGCAAGGAATAGTAGACGAAATTTTAAGAGAACAAAGTGGTAAAGGAATTCGAAAAGTAAATTTATATATTTTCTTATAGACTTCTTACATATTGTATAGATAAGTTTATTTATATTTAAGTTAATATTTAGAAAGGTGAAGAAAATACTGAGTCTTCTATTGGTTCATCAGATGCAATTAAAAAAGCTGTTAACCATTCGGAGGTACTCTTATGTCTACAAATTTGTAATTATATGTCAGAATCAGCAACATACAAAACATTTTCTTTTATTAAACAAAAAAGACAACAATCTACATTTCAAAATGAAACATTCATAATACAACAGTCATAATCATAATTATGACTGTTGTATTATGAATGAACTACAAAATCATACATACAATGCAACGACATAATCATACATACAATAGATGAGTTAAGTAGAATTTTTACGGGAAGGGGGGAAGAGGTCAAAAATTGGCTGAAAAAATGATGACATCCTTTATGGATGGCACCAAAACTATTTATTACTATTTTAATAAATACAATCTCTTATCCGTGAAAATGATATATCTGTACCAGTTTTATATATTTTAATGCATTTGTATGCAACATAATAAAAATTAATAATAAAATGTAAGATAAATGCAAAAGGAAACTTGATGCATAAAGGTTTACTTTGCCACAAACTGACGTCAACGCCCAAAATTATTTTGGCTAAATTTTTAGATAAGCGCTTAATATTATTCTTTTAGTTCTTAATTTTTTTTCTTAAAAAGAATTTTTTTTTTTCTTAAAAATTAATTTTTTTTTTTCTTAAAAAGAATTTTTTTTTTTCTTAAAAATTAATTTTTTTTTTTCTTAAAAAGAATTTTTTTTTTTCTTAAAAATTAATTTTTTTTTTTCTTAAAAAGAATTTTTTTTTTTCTTAAAAATTAATTTTTTTTTTTAAGACTTAAGCTTAGTGCTCTTCTTTTTCGTTCCGTACAAATTTACATAAGTGTAAACGTCTTTATAGCGTTACGTACAAATTTACGTAAGTGTAAACGTCTTTATAGCGTTACGTACAAATTTACGTAAGTGTAAACGTCTTTATAGCGTTACGTACAAATTTACGTAAGTGTAAACGTCTTTATAGCGTTACGTACAAATTTACGTAAGTGTAAACGTCTTTATAGCGTTACGTACAAATTTACGTAAGTGTAAACGTCTTTATAGCGTTCCGTACAAATTTACGTAAGTGTAAACGTCTTTATAGCGTTCCGTACAAATTTACATAAGTGTAAACGTCTTTATAGCGTTACGTACAAATTTACGTAAGTGTAAACGTCTTTATAGCGTTACGTACAAATTTACGTAAGTGTAAACGTCTTTATAGCGTTACGTACAAGTTTACGTAAGTGTAAACGTCTTTATAGCGTTACGTACAAATTTACGTAAGTGTAAACGTCTTTATAGCGTTACGTACAAATTTACGTAAGTGTAAACGTCTTTATAGCGTTACGTACAAATTTACGTAAGTGTAAACGTCTTTATAGCGTTACGTACAAATTTACATAAGTGTAAACGTCTTTATAGCGTTCCGTACAAATTTACATAAGTGTAAACGTCTTTATAGCGTTCCGTACAAATTTACGTAAGTGTAAACGTCTTTATAGCGTTACGTACAAATTTACGTAAGTGTAAACGTCTTTATGTTGAGTTTGCGGGCATTTTATGGAATAATCACGTATATCTTTATACCTATAAAATGAGAAAACTTGAAAATTTTATTTTAAATTTTAGAAATCTTTTTTTCTATATTCTAATTTTTTTGCTATGAATATATAAACAAGATTGAAAAAATTTCAATATTTATTACGCTAAGAGGAGGTTTTAAACAGCGCATTTAACTACTGCGCTATCAATGAAATGCATTTAGCAGAAAAACAAACCTAATTATAAGCGTCTTATAAGCTATACGTATGCGGTGCGCATGTTATGTTTTTTACTCTTAAATTTTTTTTCAAAATAAATTTTCAGAATAGGAATTAAGTAGAATTTTTTTTTATGCATAAAAGTCTACATATGTAAGATGTTATATACATCTAAAATTGGCTTATTGCTATATTAATTGATTTACACTCTACTGCATCTATGGCTAAATCATCTAAAAAGTGTAACTTTTATAGTGGTGGCCACTAGTCATGAAAATCATAAACTTCATAGAAGTATCATGGAACTGTATTTCCATTTGTTCATGGAAAAAGTGATGAAGAAAAAGACTGCGTTGTGTATAAAATATATTTTCTTTACTATAAATAATTATTAGTGAAAAGTATAAAAAGTATAAAAATTTTATTAATGATTAGCTAAAAGATTTTCAAAATGTCTGCAGACAAAGAACTATGCACATGTAGCTTCATTTTAAGTAAAATGGAAATGGTGCAGTATTGATAGCTTGGGTAAGAAACATTTGAGAAAAGCTGAATAAACTAATAGTTTTTTTGACAAACAATCAATGACAGTAAAAAAATATATTCATTGGAAGTATTTTTAAAGGTTCCGTCAATAGTATCAAATGTACATGTTCCCATTGGCGGTATTATCACTGAAATAGTGTGGGTTCTAAAGTTGTTGTATTGGTTTGAGTTATTAGTTTTTGTTGTATTGGTTTGAGTTGTTTAAAATTATGTTTAATGAAATTGTTAAAAAATTTTAATTGAGTAGAATAAAATGTGGCTATCTAATAAAGTTTGGAGAATGTATCCCAGATTTAAAATCAAAATTTAGGTTTGAAATTTTTAAAATTTCAAATTCTTAAAACTTAAACACAGAATTTAGCATAGCATTTAAATAGTTACTGACTGCCAATGAATGTGAACTACCAACTAAATCTTTTAGTTCTTTTTAACGATCAATGTTCAAAGCCATAGTAACACAGTTAAAATTGTTTCCTAATATTAGAAGTTTTAGATTGCCGTGGTTCACAGTGCATTTGTTTTGGGGTTGATTAATATCAGGGAACTAATAAAAAGGTCCAATGCTGCAAAGCTTTCATGGTTCACCTGCTCGAAAGTCTCTATAAAAAAAAACAGTTGCTATAAGTTTCCATTAAGGTGGTTTTAAAATAATATTATAAAATCATTTTTTCTTTAAAAGACAAAAATATACAATATAGATATTAAAAATTTGAAAAGCTTTTTAGGTTTTTAATGTCTGTTCTCTATACATGGCTTACAATCTTTCAAAATATTAAAGTTCTGCAACTGCTATGTCCTTGTTGTATCAAAAAAGGAAAAATATTTGTCAAACTAACCATGGTAACCATGGTACACTTCAAAAATCTTTTAATAAATATTTTTGCTCTTATCCATTTACAAATGTTTTTTTTTAATTAAAATTTTATTGTTTTTGCAGAAAAACAATAATTTTTTGAGTTTATTTAATTTTCCATGATAGAAAAAAAGGAAAACATTGCAAAGAGAATGAACAGCTATAAAACAAACATACCAAAAGTTATATTTAATAAGTTATGATCCCAGAATTTTAGGGTCAACTTTGATACAGGACATAATTTTGAGACATTATTTACATTAAGATATTTATTGTTTTTTAAGTCCACTTAAGTATTCAAAAAAATTAGGATTCATAGGACAGACATTTTAAACATGCAATTTCTCCAAATTGAGCTTGGTGTTAAAAAAAAGCTTTATGATTTAAGAGCATAAAAAATATTAGAAAATGTCAGTTCACAAATATTTTGAATACATTCTCAATATTGTGTGTATAATGTCACTTCACAAATATTTTGAATACACTCACAATATTGTGTGTATAATGTCACTTCAGAAATATTTTGAATATATCATTTATTTACTCAAATATATATTTCAAACTGTTATTTCAACAGAAAAAAAAACTCATATAAGTATTATAACTGAAGATAAAACATATACAAGGTTTTTTATATATAAATAATTTTAACTAACAATTTATTTCTATTTTTAACTAACGATTTATTTCTAAATATCCATTTTAATAGTTCTACAAAGTTAAATCATTTCTGTTATTTAAAATTTTGTTGCAGTATTTATATATTTGTTGCAGAAGAAGAATGAGTTCCAGATCTCAAGATGTATTTACTGCACTTTCTTTTCTTCAAACCTAATTTTACTTTTAGATGCTAGGAGTCTTCAAAGTTGATGTCTCTAAACCTCAATATGAGCTCTTGAGTCTTTAGTTGATGTAATTAAATAAAAACATGAAGTCCTGAATTTCATGTAATTGATTGAAAACATGAAATCCTGAATTTCATGTTTTTTGTATTTTTAATATACATATTTGTCCTAACTAATTATTAAACAATACTCAATTGATCTTATTTTTCAATTTTTTAGTATTTTTATAACTTTTTTCTCTGCCATGACAGAAATAATCTGATTTCAGCTTTGAAATCAGCAGATCAGAATTAATGATGAGCACATGAGTTCTTCTTATATGTCACATGATTTCATTTTAGAGGATTTTTACTTGATGACCTGTGTCGTTTAATAGTTAAGGTTATTAGACTAAATGCTAACCTTTTATTTTAATAGCCTAAATGCGAATCTTTTAGTTTAATAAGTTTAGTTTAAATTTTACTATGCTAAATGCTAATCTTAGGTTAACAGCTTAAATGCTATTCTTTTAGGTTGATAGCCTAAATGCTAATCTCTTAGGTTAATATCTTAAGTGATATTCTTTTAGGTTAATAGCCTAAATGGTAATCTTGTAGGTTAATATCCTAAATGTTAATCTTTTAGGTTACTAGCTTTAATGCTAATCTTTTAGGTTACTAGCTTAAATGCTAATCTTATAGGTTAATATCCTAAGTATTAATCTTTTAGGTTATTAACATAAATGCTAATCTTTTAGGTTATTAGCTTAAATGCTAATCTTTTAGGTTATTAGCATAAATGCTAATCTTTTAGGTTATTAGTTTAAATGCTATTCTTTTAGGTTATTAGCTTAAATGTTAATCTTGTAGGTTATTAGCTTAAATGCTAATCTTTTAGGTTATTCGCTTAAATGCTAATCTTTTAGGTTATTAGCTTAAATGCTAATCTTTTAGGTTATTAGCTTAAATGCTAATCTTTTAGGTTATTAGCTTAAATGCTAGTAACCTAAATTAGAGTAGAGAAAATGTCTATGCTTACTTTGATTTTACTCAAACGAATTTATTTAATTTTTATTATAGGAAAAGACAAATAAAACTTTAAAGAAAAAGAATAACCTGAAAAAAAATGAAGTATTTGCCTCACATGATATTGGAGATGATGATTTATAAATTATCAGAGTTTTAAGAAAAGGATTATAGTAACCTCATAAATAACAAATGACATTAAATCAAAGTAAAAAATACATTCTTACAATAAAATGATATTATGATATAACGTAGATAATGCATAATCAACTTAATACAGCTGGTGTGGTATATTTCTACTACAGTTGGTTTGTTAATATATCATTTGGTAATTATGTTTTCTTATTGGTTGATTTATTGACATATGTTATTATTTGTTCATTATAGCATTAGCGATTTATAAATTTTTAAACAAACGTATAACGTTTAATTTACAGTAATTTCCTAAATTTTGTATTTGAACACGATTCAAACTAATATATTCACGTTTTGTTCACGTTTTTTTGTAATATTTTTAAACTGTGTTTGTATAATTTTTATACTTAAAGTTAATATTTCAACATTTTTTTCTGAATAAATGTTTGTGATTTTTTTTAAATATATATTTGTTGTTCTTTATTTTTATCAGTTTAATGCAAATTTTAATAAAATGTATGTTGTTTTTTTTTTTAAAAAAAATCTTTTTGTAATGTCATTATCATAACACAACAAATTATAGATAATAATTAAAAAGTTAATGTTTCCGGGTGTAAATATCTGTAAATATATATTCATTTTTGCATTTAATTTATCTGAGGTTAGAATTATTTTTGAAAATTTGTTGTTATGACATCCTTTGTCTTTTTATCCACAGTACCTACCCACAAGTACCCACAGTTCTTATACAACTATATTTAGCGCGATACCAACAACATTAAAAACACATTTCTAATTTGCTAATTAGAAATGTGTTTTTTTTTTTTGTTGCCGGGGTGGTTAGAGTAAGATTTCCTTAATTTTCTTTAAAAAATAAGTTTAAAATATTTAAATAAAATCCTAGTAACATAAAATTATAAGAACGGAAGTAACTGGTAAAGCAAATTTAATTTGGCTTCGACTAAATCTTAATGAGTTTTTGAAAAAATCAAATAAACTTTAAGTTAAAAAAAACAACTTTATTTTCTTATTCAACTTTTACCTTAATGATTTCATCATATAATGACAGCCATAGCAACCTCTTGTTCCTTTTATAACGAATTGAAGCGTTAAAAAAAAGACCAAAATGTTACCAAAAAAAAATTCTTGTGAGGTCATTAAAATAAAAAAAGCTTGAAAGGTCATAAAAAAGAATAAAGTCGTACTATTAAAGAAGTATTAAATAAACACGTAATTGGTATGAAATTTTTTAAAAAAGAGCTATTGTGGAGAAAAAAAATATCAAGCAAAATTTTTTTCATTATTTTAGATGGCTGGTAAAAAAAATTAAAAGAAGTTATCTATTCCGCAGAAATTTTTTTCATGTTTTTAAGTTCTTGTTTTATATATTTTATAAAATATATAAAACAAAAGAACTAAAAAAATATGTATTTATTTTCTGCTGAAAAAAATAACTTCTTTAAATTTTTGTTTAAAATTACGTTTCGTTTAAAATGACGTATTTTATGATAAGTGAAATTTGTATTTTTGCTTTTTTTTTGTATATTCAATTGCCTTCAATAAAAAAAAAATTACAATTACAAAACAGCTTTATTACAAATAATAATCGGCAGGACTTCTAGAAGATCATACGATCTTTCGTGAAGCCCTTTACAATATAATAATAAAACAATAAAATCAAATTAACCAATAAAAATAAATCAACATAAACTATATATAACTGTGCACAGTGGGCCAGAATTCACTTTTACTTAACAAAATTCATAACTAATTTAATATTAGAGCTATACTCACTAAAATTAGCATGAGTACTAAAATGATGTCTGCAGGTATATTTTTTATTTTGTTGCAATGGATACTTTTATTTTGCTTAGCAACAACCTATTTTTGTTATCTGCAGATAATTTATGAGTGCTATATTCCCTAAATTTGGTATGAGTACCAATATGAGATCACACTTATTATAAAAGTAATAATTTTTTTAATTTAGTTGCAATGGATACTTATATTGCTTAGTTACCAGATACTTTCCTTAGTTACAAAGATGTAAGTTGATATTTAAATATTCTATCGGATTTTCGACCCACCTATAATGAATAACAATTGATTTTTTAGGTTAATAATGTTTTTGAAATAATAAAAACAACAAAATAGTGCAAGAAAGTATTGTCAATTTTAAATTACATCAAAAAATTATAAATCAATGACATCGTTTAAAGATTGTTTAAGTAACTGTAAAACATCTGAAGGAAATGCTTTATGATTTGTTCGGTGTGATGTTGATATACGCAGTGATGAAATAACAGAATTACTGGAAACTAAGAGCCTATTGATAAGGTCAGTATTTGTTGCTTTTCTGGATGTTTTTCGGCTGAAATTTTTTGCGATAAGTTTTGAAGTCTTTATTTCTAGCCTATTGAGCTTTCTCTGACATAAGTCCGATGGGTAATGTAAGGTTTTTAATTATGTCATGTTCATGTATCAATACACATATAGTCTAGCAGTGTCAAAATAATAATCTTTGAATTTTAAGCTGTCTATTTCATATATCTTGAAGAGAGTGTTATCAAGATAATGTAAAATCTGATTATAAGGTTTTGATCAATACCCAGAGTTTCAGCTGTTTGTTCATATGCTGAAAAAGCACGCCTTGAGGTATTGCCATCATTGCTTGTTCCAGAACCACCACTTTTAGGGAAATCAACAAGTCCTATATTGTTCATAAAATCAGTCTGAATCTTTTGTTTAGCTAATGATGTCTTTTCTTTGTGTTCTTTAGATCTTGCTTGCCACTTTCTTGTTCCTTTTTTATATGCAATGTGCAATACCATTTCAAAAAAAACGAATTCATGCATGAAGAATGGAAAGACCATATTTGAACTCTCTGTTAGTATAATTTATATTAAGGATATCAAGACTATTTATATTTTTTGGAGAGACACCACACACTGAACAGCATTGGTATGAATTAGTTTTTTCAGATAATACCGTTTGAACTTTCTCATTAATCATTGTAAGTTCAATAATACAATTCACTTCAATAGAAGACCGCAAACCTCTAATAAAATCATACCAAAGCTTTCTTTCTCACTTTTCATTTACTGATCTTCCTCGATCACAGATTCCTTGGATTCCTTTTTGTAAGTAAATCTTATGGGTCTACCACAGGCTGTGGATGACGACTTTTGATTTCTCCAAATAGGTACCTTTTCGTTACTGTTGTTAAATCCAGTCCAATCCAATGGGACTAGACAAGTTATAAATAATGATTCTTCACACTTTAAATCTCTGTTCATATCAGGTTCTGATAAAACTTGTTTATAAATGCCTTGGCCGAATCCAAGGCTTTGCTTCTAATCAATTGAGAGAAAGCTTTTGTCAGACTGGCATCAATTATTAAAGCCAGTGCTTCGTCTGCTGAATATTTAGTTGCTTTATCTGTATTTGAAATATTTAAAAAGTTCTTGGCAGCACTAACAATAGATTCATCTCTAAATTTTTTATTAGCAACAAAAAATAATTCACTGGATCAATGGGATTCAATTTAGCAAGATACACGCCGTTTTTTAGTTTTATTAGAACTATTATCAAATGCAACTGGTTTTCGACCACGTCTACTTGCAGTTAGTTTTTTTTTTTTTCTGACAATTAAATATTCATTAAGCCAATTTACAAACGTCTTTTCAAAAATTTTAACAGTATAATTTGCAGATTTTCCCTTTTATACAAGTAAATAAATCGTTGAACAGCATGTCTAAAATCAACGTCTTTAAATTCAGCAAATTTTGGCTGAATAAATTTCAATATATCTTCAGTAATACTTTGTTTTGAAATACTAAAATTGTTTTTTTGGAGAAAATTATAAATGTCTAAGTTTAATAACGCCATATCTGAATAATTCTTATAACAAATATTTTGTATTTAAAAGATTTATGTTATAATATTTATGCCGCGTGGACTACTAATTCGTGTTATTAATTAAGTTAATACAAGTGTTAGTGATTAAAATAAAGAGTAATTAAATTACTGTTAGTGTTAGAATTTAAATTACTGACAACTACCGAAAATATGTTGTTTATGTGCTATGCAAAGTAAAGTAGCCATAGCAACCAAAAAAAATAACATTATAAGAAATGCGAATCTCATTTTAATACATATTTACAGTATTGTGTACTTAGCGCAGATAAAATACTGTTAAAACAACGTTAATGTAAAAATGAGCTGTTGCAACTAAGTTAAAACATATATAAAATCTGAACGGGGATTAAAGGGAACGAGCAATCAACTAAAACTTGATTGAAGTATCACATAACTTAAATAAATATGACAGCACATGGCAAATTATGGTAATTATAATTATAGTGGGGCAAAAAATAAATTTCATGAAGATTTTTTTTTAATCTGTGATTTTCAAATGTAGATGTGATTGAAATATAACACAACGTTAATGTCACCGTAAATTACTTATTTAATTTTTTTTTTTTTAATTTCAATATTCGAATGCTTAGAGTCCTGGTAACTATAGAATTTAATATAAATAAATTATCAATAAATTTCTCTTAATATATGTAGATACTAAAATTAAATAAGTTTTCGAGATTAGACGACTAAATTTTTTCTCATTTTGTCAACCTACTGGCCCACAGTGCTGTGCATTTAAAATATAAATATACTGGATAATTATTCTGTAAGACATGATAAGATCGATCTGATCTTATGATAAGATCGTATGACCTTCTGGAAGTCCTGCCAATTATTATTTGTAATAAAGCTATTCTAAAATTGTAAGTTTTCTTATTGAAGGCAAATAAATATACAATAAAAAATCAGCAAATTTCACTCATCATAAAATACGTCATTTGCTAAAGCACAGGCTTTTAATACAAAATAAAACAAAAAAAACATAAACTGTTCTTTAACCGCACTATAACAATAATAGAACAATGTAAACTTCTTTCTTGAAATCGTATTCAATGTTGACAAATATGAAATAAGTACTGTGCAAAATTGGGACATCGACAGTACTGAACGCGGTCGAAAATTGAAAACTGTATTATATTGCATGAATGCAATAGAAAAATATATGCATACAATCTTTATTTTTCCTTAAAAAAAAATTAACAAAAATCTTCTATTTTATTTAAACGGTTATATTACTTATAAAATCATAGCAGTTTTGGAACAATCACTCAAAAAAAGCCATTGTAACATTTTGTTTTCCTGTACACTGCATACACCGTGTCTAACCATTTAATGTTAGATTGGTACCTCAAGTCTTTTTTTAGTAATATATTATGTTGGTCATTTTTAGCATTTTTATGTTGAGTACTTTTAGTAGTATGACATGTTTGACATCAAAAGAAAAAAAAGTTATATAAAAATTTTATAAAAATTTTTTCCTTTTTATAAAAAATAATTGTTTTGAATTTTAATTTTTTAACTTAAAATGAAGAAAGTGCATTT